GAGCAGTGTTTCACAGGAGTGGCCTTCCCTAAATCCAGACTGCTTGTCGGAGAGGATGTTGTTCTTTTTCAGGAAGGTCACTAATTGATTCTGCACCACTTTCTCAAATGCTTTAGAGAGATTGCACACAAGAGATTGCACACAATCCGCATATTCGACACATGTAATCCATTTCGCGTAATCTTAAGTCAAGTATTCTGGTAAATTACAATAAGGATGTCTATCACGGCACTGACTATTAGTACGGCTCGACGAACGTGGGTTAAGTGGCGAATGTGAAGAGCCAGCTTGCCGTTATTGGCAGACACGGCAATCCATCGCTGACCTTTAATTATACCGCAATCCAAACTATGCCTGCACCATTTCTGAAAGAGTGCAAGCCAGGTTCTTGATTCCATTCAACTACCTTTGTTTCGCCTATAAACGAAGGGGAAGCAAGGACAAGCTGAATCGGCGGCATAGATGCTCACGAACTTGCTCCATGCTTCCACCGTTCCATAAACAGCTGGGCCTTCGATTCAGTTCTTCAGAGCTGTGGAACTAGGTCGCAGGCATGGTCCCACAATGGTATCCCGGGCTAGGTTTCGCCAGCGCCGGTTTAGCAATATTATTAGTTCTGTTACCGCTTATAACTTTATATACGCATACATGTACAATTTCATCGTAAACAAAGTTGTACGCGGTGACAGAAATAATAACTGTGTCGTCGTCGGCACCGCTGCTGGATGGTACTCGTACAGTTTATACCTCCATCGGATGATACAGCTACTCGGAGCTGATGAATTCTTTTACTCTGTAAAAAAACATCTCAGCTGCGATAATTTTTATACGGCGAACGCTTCGCCAGTACATGGTCCTCATTTAGCCCCTCGTGCAAGTACATCCCTCCTCATCCAACTTATAGAAATACTGCAGTCCTCTCTACAGGATTCAAGCGAGAGAGTCTGGCTTAATTTTTCTTGAAGCGCCTCCATTATTCCACGCTTTACCAGCTGATCCCGCAGCTCTTGGACTTTTACCAAGGCAGCGTCGTCCGGCGGAAAACGGTGAGGTCCAAATTACGAAGCAGACGTTTAATAATAAAAACTCGTCACGGATACCTTGCTTCGTCGTTTCGATCGTATTCCTTTGCCGGCTGCTAACACCGCGGTTAGTCTCAATCACTTGTGACCTTTGCACTACAAACACACACATTTTATGTAACGCCGAGATCATCTGCACCGGCACTCGTTGAACGCCACCCGCAGCTGACCTGTTCACGCAGACATACAAATTATTCAGTGATGTCGTGGATACACTAATAACATCTAACTAACACATGGTAGGTAATGGCATACCACCATTGAAGGTCTGCAATCTTTTGTACACAGTAAGTATACAGACCATATGATCAGAGGGAACGCATGGATGCCAGCCGGTATTAACAGGACAATTGGTATTTCCTGATAAATAATTAGCAGCAGTCGATATTGGGGATTATAGACAGTTGGCAGTTGTTTCACAAATGTGCAAGTAACCTGTGATAAAATGGCAACAGTGACAATGGATGTGACGACAGTGTCCTGACCTCCAGAAACCAAGAAAAATCCCGGAAATCAACGTGAATCACGTTAATTTGGGGGATTTTTCTCAGTTTCTGGAAACCAGGATAGAAGATCTTTCGAAAATCCCTTGCCCCGATCTCCCGAAACAGATCTTTCCAAAATCTGTAAAGAAAACATAATGAATTATACAGCAGAATCTCATAGGTTACGCGGTATTGTAGACAATTAAATAGGTATTAAATTCAGTTTTTATAAAAAAAACTGAGAAAACAAAGCAGCGTTGTTTTTTAGATGTTTTAATGCTCAGTATTACAGTAAACGGCATTACCTGACGTTACTACGTTATTACTTTCCGTTATTATGTTACTAAGTTATTACAGTAAACGTTGTGTAAACAGATCACCAGCCCTACCTGAAAACAGCATAAGTGGGCGCTTGCCCGCTAAATTCCTGAAGTCTGACGCGGCAACAATCTCGTAGCTCCTCCTTCCACACGTTTATACATTTCTGTAGAATAACTGGTGCACCAATGAAAAAATGTCCCGAGAAAAAAGATACGACGCTTATACCAATTTTTGTAGGAATATTTTTCAACCGGATACCGCCGGCGCCACCAGCAGGACAGCATCGTCCTTGAAATGCGTAATCAACTGTAAAAGAATTATCGCATTCCACCGGCCATGGTGTCCTGTTAGCATCAATAAATTATAAGACTTTAACTTTTCCTCCATTACAATTGAGTATGTGTAAAAGTGCAACACGAAATGCCGGAGAGAAATGAATCATAACGTTATGAGTGTGAACGGATTTAGAAATTGCCCATATGCCGATGTGCCGAAATCAAGTTCGAGCAAGGACATTAAATTTTTATGCAGACTATGGACATAAAAAGCAACTTATCAGATGATTTTGATACACAGTAAGCCTTAGATCTGTTAATCTGTCCTAAATGTTTTGTTAACAGAAAACTGTTTTGTTCGACCAGACTTGCAGTCCCTTCGGGGTTGTCTGCTCTTGTGCCGTAATAATAATAATAATAATAATAATTCGCCGTCATAATTTTGCGACGATTTTGCATTCCGCGGTAATTTTGCCTGGGACTTTTCTGATGAGCACATTAAATGGCCTCAATAGACCACATGAACGGCGTAAGTATATACCTATAGTAACTGCTGGCGTTCTTCCATTCCCATAATGCGGACTTCGAACGGGCAGTATTCGGAGCATCTATAAACACTCACGCGCTTAAGCTTTTTCTCCACTCTATAATGCGCCATAATTCAGCAAGCGGATGTTGCAGGCGCACAAACCGTTTCCAAGAGCTGTAGGCAAAATGTTTCGCTGATAAAAATGCATTAAAATTTTTGTTGGTTGATGAAGGAGCTTGTGGTATCTTGTACCAAGCCACTTAACTTAATAATTACCATATATCAGACAACCAGGTATGAACGATACCAGATCTCAAAAATTTCTACTTTTAACATTTGACAGGTATACAATTTGCATCATTAAAACTATAAAATTTTTAAAAAGTTTTGCGGTACATGTACCTGCACCAGTGTGCAGGTATAAATGTGACGCTTTAAAAAACCCCTGTTCAGCCATGACAAATGGAAATCCATACGGATAGCTGGAGCAGTAAAAATTTGTGAAGTTTGCCCAAATTTGTCAAGCAGCAGCTGGATAAAGGTCACTTACCGCACTTAACCTTTTGTTCGGAGGTGCAGCCGGCGCCGCCGCCGGTCCGTTGTCAGCGACTCGGCGTCAGGGGATAACGTTGGCGCTAGTACGTTACCTCCAGAAGAGTCACTGCAAGATGATCTGCATCGGTGCAGTGAAGTGGAGCTGGAAATAAAATCTGTGAAGTTTTATAATAAAGACTTGTGTGGTTTTCAAGCAGCCTTCTACTCTAGCTGTCTACGTATTTTGTCGTTTCGAGCTAAACTTGAAGTAAAACATTCTGTAAACTGAAACCCCATAGTGTGATTCGCATTGAATATACAGCTGCCATTTTAACTGGAGCCTAGTGGTGCCTGTTTTCTCGTGTAGCCTGCAGGTAATATACCTCCAACTAGCGATAACTACTGCGATGACCGCCATCAAAATGTGGGGAAAAATTTATTTCAAAACCGTAAACCAATGGTTTGGTATGAACGGGACCGTGTGTGTGCCTTTGCAAAGGTGTGAGGTGCAACTCGGGGAATACATTCTCTGTTACAGCCGATGATCCCGGCATTTCTGATTGTAATGTTTGTCATGAAATACCATTAGGTAGATTTTCGAAGAATAATTATGTATCTGCTTTGATGTCTGTGCTGGGGCTCAAATCTCGCAGACCATGCTGCGCTAAATGAATTATCCCAAACTGGAGACATACGAGTATATGTACGCGTACGTACATCATGCCCATAAGCTGGGATGAATAACAGGCGCTATCCACTGGAAACCGAGAAACGGCTGAAAAGGCGCCGATGGGGAATCAGACTGGCTACGTCGTTAGATCCGCGTAGGCAGTACCACTGCACGGCAATACGTTGAAATCATTTGAAAGATTTTGTCGCTGTACGTGAGCCGCTTCTCCGCTCACCCCTTTGCAGCTTCGCACATTTCGCTGGCGAGACAACGATCGCTTGGCGGCTGGCGGCTCAGCTCACGCATCCTCCTAAGCGGTTGCAATTACCGCATCCTTTTATTCGTTTTTTCTTTTATTCGTTTAGGCGGCTTCCCGATAACCGCTCCCGGCTCGTTCCTCGTTTCCAGTGCGGCTTTCGTCCGCAGGGATGTAGAGGCACACTAACGCACTAGGCCCAACTCAACCGATCTGCTGCTACCAAATAAGCAGGGCGCTATCCACTGGAAACCGAGAAACGGCTGAAAAAGGCGCCGATGGGGAATCGAACCCCGGCTACGTCGTTAGATCCAAGCGTAAAACAGTACCTGCTGCACGGCGCAATTTGAAATCATTTGAAAGATTTTGTCGCTTTGTACGAGCCGCTTCTCCGCTCACAGATGCTTTATATCTGCAGCTACGATAAAAAGGAGTTGGCTGGTGTGTATCGTGATTCGTAAAATTTCCTGCCCTGTGCGTTTAATAGCGTATTAATATTAATCTTCTTTAATTTATACCAAATCTACTTACACTAAAGAAATAAGTTCTTATTAATTTCCCATGAGTGTTAATCGAAAAACGGCTTTCGATCGTGACGGTGACTATGTTAAAAAAATCTTTTCCGTAATAATTAAGAAACAGTTTTTTGTATCTGTAATTTTTATTGATCGGATACAAAGACAAGCTCACAATTCACAAAAGAAACATCAGAAACAATTCGCTGAAACAGCACTGCCCAAAGTAAGTACTCGTACATGTAGAAAACTAGAAATGTAGGATCAACTTAACGGTATTCGACAGTACTCGTACTACTGTATAAAAATAATAAGCATGTGACCACTGCCGTTGCCGAAATGCCTTGTCAAGTTATAGTCTCGAGCCGAATAGCGCTGTTACCAGCAACTGAATCATCTGCATGGATAAACCTTCCTCTACCCGTAGTAACAATCAGAAACCACATGGATTTCAGGGATGATTTACTCTGTGTAGCATGCATCCAGAGCCGCAACGGTCACATTCGTCAAAGTGGAAATATCTAGTTGACGGAGATCCATAGTTTCCCAGCGTTGTGGATCAGCGGGGCACGGCTCCTTTAACCTGAAAACGACTGCCACCGTGAAATCCGAATGAACACTCGAATTCTAATATGAGGCAACGCTGTGTAAATGACGCCCTCAATAACATCCCCACCCCTAATGCGTGCGCAAAAAGGCACTTACATCTGCAGGAAGATACGAATGCCGACCCATTCATCCGGATAGACTAACGTCTGTTCCCAGGGAGCATACAGCTGCGTCACCTTGCGGAAGGCAGCCTGACTGACTACCGGACAATTGGCATTTGCCGCTGCTAAAAAGACTCGCCACTGTTCAGCCGGCGTTTCTGTGGAGTAAAAGCGCAACAGCGGAATGATGATGTCCCACTTAACAACATGACCCGGGCGCATGAACACCCGTCTTTCCGGCTCCGGCAAAGCCGCTTCCATATCTAAGTACAGTATCTGAATAGCCGAGCCAATGATGGCTTCCGCCGCCCGGACGTTGATTAGCGTCAACTGTTTACACACCCGCATGATGTCAGACAGCGCGGTGCACTCAAAGGTGTAGTTGTGGAAATGGTGGAAACGGCTGCGGCGTGGGGACAGGATCGGAAAGAACGTTATATCCGTGAGAGGACCAGCGTAGTTGATTACGAGTGAAGGCAGACAAATGTCTTTGGGCTTCAGTACTCTTTCTACCGTCTCAAGTTGTAGTTGGAGGGCTGTCATGCCGTAAGAATGCTGCGTGTCTTCGGTTAATGCTAACAAGTGACGAAGAACTGGTCGCCGTCAATATCCTGAACGTATCCCAGCCACCATTGTGGCTGGGATACGTTCAGGATATAGCCAACAATCTCGTCGCTCCTCTTTCCACACGTTTATACATTTCTGTAGCATAACTGGTGCGCCAACGAAAAAATGTCCCGACAAAAAAGATACGACGCTTGTACCATTTTTTGTAGGAAAACTTTTCAACCGGAAACCGGCGACGCCACCAACAGGTCACATCGTCTTTGAAATGCGTAATTAACTGTAAAAGAAGTTATCGCATTCCACCGGTGATGGTGTCGTTAGCACCAACAGATTAAAGACTCTAACTCTTCCTCCATTACAGTTGGATATGCGTAAAAGTGCAACACAAAATGGCGGAGAGAAAGAATTATATAACGTTATGAGTGTGAACGGATCCAGGAATTGCCCATATGCGGATATGCCGAAATCCAGTTCGAGCAAGGACATTTTATGCAGACAATGGACATAAAAATGCAATTTATCAGGTGCACAGTAAGCCAAATATACCGCCATAATTTTCCGACGATTTTGCAATCGGCAGTAATTTTGCCTGTGATTTTATGATGAACACATAAAATGGCCCCAATAAACCACATTATCGGCGTACAATAACTGCTGGCGTTGTTCCGTTATCATAACGACACCGGATGGGCAGTATTCGGATCATTTTAAAGCAGTCACGCGTTTAAGCGTTTTCTCCACTTTAATGCGTCATAATTCAGCAAGCGGATGTTGCGCGCACAAACCGTTTCCAATCGCTGTATGCAAAATCATTCGGTAATAAAATGCATTAAAACTATTTCTTTGTTGGTTGAGGAACCTTGTGATATCTTGTACCAAACCACTTACCTTAATTAATAATCAAATATGAATCAGTCAGGTATCGATGAAGCCTGGTCACAAAAATTTTGTTTGCTTTTAAAATTTCGATAGATGTACAATCGGCATTGATAAAACTGTAAAATTTGTAAAGATTTGTACGATACATGTACCTGCGCCAATGTGCAGGTATAAATATGGCGCTTTAGCCATGATGTGAAACCTCTGTTCAGCCATGATGTGAAAATCCATACGTATGGAGCAGTACAGGGGAGGTACCTACATTGTGAGCAACTGAATTCTCCTTATATAGCCTGCATCTGCGTATCCGAATTTCATAAACAGTGTGCACCATAGGTTTCGGCACTGGGTCGCGTCATGACGGATCGGAGAAGGGACGTATTCAAGAAAAGGATCGGAGAAGGGACGCTTGCTATGCGACTAAAGAATATCTTTGAGCGCATACAAAAAGTTAACATGCAGATAATCAGTGTTGATGGTGGGGGATTTTTCAAATTTGCTCTCCAAACTGTTGATCTGTCTTAACAATTCTTTTTTTGTTTAGCTTTTTACCGACCAGACGTTGAAGTCCCGTTTAGCGGGTTGTCTGCTCCTGATGAAATAATAATAATAATGACAGGTGTTTGGTGACCTTTGAATGGTCAGCGGATCTAAAAGTGCTTTAAAACAATATTGGGGAATTTGAAATTAGAAGTACCATAAACCAAAATATTTTGTGGTACTTATTGGGAGAAAGTTCAGAAACCGTTGTTTTGTGCATATTCAAAGTTAAAAGCGGTCGACAATACTGGGGCAAGCGTCTCAAAGGGATGCAGCTGCACTTTTTAATAAGCTTCTGAATTTCTTAAGTTCTTAACACTCTGCCCGTCGTGCTTGTTGGTTAACAGATACTGACAATGAATAAGGACATTGTACACAGTTGCAGTTGCAAAAAATTTCCAGCTTATCACATTGCAGTTGTGTGTTTTTAAGGATGAATCACTGTCAGTCTGTAGTCTGTGTAATAGTTAGCAGGAAGTGACCGTCTCTATATTTCTTTACAGTAGAAACAGATAGCCGAATTTTCTCAAACTTTGATGCAAATCATTTTAATCTGAAAAGCGTCACACGATGTCGCAAAGAGAGCTGTCATGTTCGAGTATATGCGACAAGTTAGGGCAAAGCGAAAACGGTTAACCAAGCACGTTGGCCGCCAAGCAGACGTTGCAGACGGAGACCGAGGGGCAGATGTTAGCGTTGATGGGCGCCTGCACACCGGCACCGTTCAGAGCGTTAATGGGGATCAGGCCGATTAATCCGGCACCACCAGTGTTACCGCCACTGTTCCACTGGGTGTTCGTGTTGCCGTTGTTCTGGCACTGTGCCATACCTAAAATTAAAGATACCACGATGAGACACTGCACATTTCTTTCGGTAATTTCTATTTGCAACGTGCTGCCCGCTTTTTCAGTTTCCGCTAGTACATTAAGCAATAATTGAAATCAACTGAATAAAGATCACTTACCGCACTGGGCTTTTTGTTCGGCGGTGCAGCCGGCGCTGCCGCCGGTCAGTTGTCGGCGTTCGCGGATAACGTTGGCGCTAGTACAGGCTACCAGAAGAAGGGTCACTAGGAGGATCTGCATGACTGCTGCGAAGGGGAGCTTGGGAAACGCAAATTTGTAAAGTTTCGGAAATTAATCTGCACCAGAACTGATATTAAGACTTATGGGGTTTTCTCGCAGTCACCTAGCTGTTTATATACATGCATAAATATACTCGATCCTTGCAACCACGACAAGTGTTGTCCATGTACTACGTTTTTCCTGCTACACTTGCTGTAAAATTCCGTAAGGTAAAACCCTATGATTCGGAATAGGCGGCTGTCATTTCGCCGGGAGCGAGAGCGGTGCCTGCTTTCACGTGCAGGTAAAACCCGAGACTGTAAACCGTATTATCGACGCTCACCGGTTAGCTAGGAACTTGTTGCATTTCACAGTGCACGGTTGTTTTTACGTTGGCTCGGTTGTGGCAGTCAGTGCGTTGCGGCAACGAATCATGTTCTTCAACCACAAAACAAATTTGGTTCTTAATGTTTTTGTGTGACACATAATTATAATACTCTGCAGCTACAGAAATATGTAAGCAAGCGATCGAGCTAGAGAACCGGAAATAACCTATTTCCGCAAAAGACGATAATGCAGTTTTTTCTCATCATCGCAGAAATGGGCACCGTTATCTGCTCGTTTTAATTTTTGCTAGCCTCTTTTTTTGTCTCTGGTAGCCAGAGACTTCAGATGGGTATGGTCACCGGTACACGAGTGAACCGGCGCCGCTGCTGTACTCAGTGTACTGTATAGGAAAACAAGATAGCACGCGGAAGTGCATAAAAGTTTTCGTTTAAACGGATTGATCAAAGTACAGATATGTAGCAGTTTATACAAACAGAAATCTGATAACAATTATTCGCGTACTAGCTGCCGTTTCCAAACTCTGCTAAACCGCGTGAAAGTCGGCCTGCCAGTGTCGCACCGCATTGCACTTTTCTATGCCTTTGTTCACAAGTCAGTCTCATCTGGACAACTGCTTCACAGTGTGGAGCGGGGCATCTGTGTGCTTGCGTGATAAATTGGCCAAGATGTATCGTAGCGGCCTTCGAGCGGCTGCAAACTACGTGGGGATATCCACGGAATCGGTCATGAGCAAACACGGGATCTTACCGTTCTTTACCAGATTTGGTTATACAAAGAAGCGATTTGGTTATACAAAATCAAACACGCGGACAACTTCTATGTGCCGCAGTACATTATCGAAATGGTGAAATTCGAACACCAGGGGAAGCCGTACAGCCTTCGGAAGGAAAGCCACCATAATCACAGCGAAGAAAAAAGTCAGCGAAACAGCCTTTACCTGGAAGCCTAATAAATTGTCGACGTGTTTCGTTGACCGTAACTGTTCTGATATTTTCGATACTCGTACTATTGGTGTCTTTAAACATGCTTTGAACAATGCTAATTTCGAATAAGCTGTTTTATGCTCACTACTGTCCATCTATCACTGTTTGACCAGGTTTAAAATCCCATGCTAGTATGTTACCCCTAGCCGGAAATGGGCTACCTGGTCCATGAATAATAATAATAATAGATTTTAGTCGGCAAGACTCGAGCGCATATCGTATACCGTTTGTGGCTGTTAAAAGTGCGACTACTCTGATTTCCCGACGATATGCTTGCGATACGGTGTCCCACCGTATCGAATACCGGACCGTATATCGTAGCGGTGTAGCGAATACAATCTAATAATAATCAACTACACTATGAAGCGTACAATGAAAACAAGCAAAAATCTCTGATGAAAACATTTAAACACCACCCATAATGGAATCGACACTCATAGCTGCAGGAAGACGTGAATGCCGTCAGATTTGCCCGGATAAGCTAACGTCTCCGCCCAGCGCGTATACAGTATACCGCCATGACCTTTCGCACCGGGTGTTGACTACCTGGGCAATTTGCGTTAACTGCCGGACAATGCCTGCTCCAACAACGTAGTCTTTGGTACAAAACACTCGTTCCTTAGACACCGGCAAAACCGCTGTCTCATCAAAAAACAGCATCTGTTGCGCCGAACCTGCGATGCCTTCCGTCCCCGTGAAGTCGCATAGTACCAACTGCTCACACACGGCCATCAGATAGCGAAAATGTGTTATTATGATATCTTTTCCGTTCTTACATTACTCAGGTTTTCTTATTCTGTCTTAGGTTGTCTTATAGTGTCCTTAGTCCACTTGTCGTCAGAAAATTGTTGTTGCATGAGACCGTTGCATAACAATATTCGATCATTGATTAATTTTGTCGTTTGACTTTTCAGCACATCATCGGGTTAGGATTTTGTATATCAACATATTATTATATCAACATATTATAGTCTCCAGCAAGCTGTCGGTCAACAAGACATTGTTAAACAAAATAAATCCATCTGTGTGTCCATGCTTGTCCATGCTAAAGCTGTCCATGCTAAAGCGCAACTAACTGCAGAACATTAGGATAAATAGGACACCTAAAATGTGTATAAAGAAGTACCACTACGATAAGCAATACCAGCTCCATTTCTATTACTGCTACCAGTAACAGTAA